GTCCTGCTAAAACTAGTTATTCTCTCATCAATCCAGTCAAATTACAATCTATTTTTCCAAATTTAAGTTCTTTAAATAGCAATCTGCAACAGTTAAGATGTTTATTAACATTTGATCTAAACCATCTCTTTAAGCCGGTTGACTCCACAGATAAAAGTCCGTCTCTCTGGTTTATTAAGCTTTAAMGGGAAACTGATTCTGAAATCAGTAAAACAAGTGTCATTTGTGGGGAGGCCTGTTTATGCCTCTGCCCTGCGTTCTTGCACGGTCCCGGCTGATTTAAGGTGGGAAGACGGGGTCCCGGCGTGGTGCTTGGGGAGTCGTAATATCAGCTTGATTTAGCAGGAACAGTTTTCAGAGCTGCAGACAGATGGAAAGCTGACTCCCCTGTAAAAAGAGCCCTTGCCTCAGGATTGTGGAGCGGGTCAGAGGAGAGCTTTAAATCTCACTGTGGGGTGGGGACGAGATACAGGACGGACCCACATGCGGACCCAGCTCCCCCTCCCCTCCCTCCAGCAGTAAGATGAAATGTTTGATCTCCGGCAGCCACCACGGGGTCAGCGGGGCACGAGGGGTGACAGCTGTATGGTAATGAGCTCTTGAGCCGGAACCACGCGGGACCCAGTCTGCTGGCAGGTGGAGTGAAGGAACGAGCTCTGCTGGTGGGTGACAGACTCATCTGGACTGGACTGGACTGGCATGCTGACTCCTGGCTCCTGTGGGAGAAATCCAAACATTAGCTGAACTATATATAGTTTGATCTTTTTTACTCGTTAAATACAAAATGCTGTTAGACATCAGTGTGGTGAAGATGAAGATTTTTGACAAGCTGAGCTATATCCTGGTGAGGATTTTTTTTATGTTGCTTGTTTACATTGTTTTTCTTGTCTCAAGTCAGTTTTATGAGCCTTTTTATCACTTTAATCACTCGAGGATCGTTSTGTTGGTTCAAAGGCAGTTTTGCTTCCAAGCAGCCAGACTTTCCTTTAATCTTTTTAATTGATCTTTAGACTTTTTGAAGATCTTCCAATAATTTTCCTTTAGACATTGGCTGCTTTTCACTCATCTTTTACTTAGTTCTTGTACCCAACCATGACAGCGTAATGTGCGGTGTGTGATATAAAAATTGAGAAAGTAGACAAAATGAGCAATGTCAGACTATAAAATATGTATATATTACATCAGCTGAACTGTCATTCTTGTCATGAAAAAAATCCATCAAAGACTTAAAACATGGACCTTTTTTAATTGTTCATCTAGTTTTCAGCTAATGGCTTGTTAGAAATCCTCTTTGTGTTAAAACTATATTTTTGTGTCAAACTGTATTTTGCTAGGTTTTGTTATAGATTAAATTAAGAAAATTGTGAAAAATGTGTCTTTTTGACAGACTGCTGGCCATAAAGTATCTAAAAGTCTAGTTTAAAGGTGGTTCTTTGCTAAGYTGTCTGTTAGATGTTGACATAAGTCTGGTTTGACTTTTGATTTTAGGAGCCTTTTTACCAAAACAAAACTTGGAAAGAGCTTCACAACCTCTATAGAACTACAGATCAGGGCAGCTTTAAAAGATTACAAGAAAATCTGCTTGCTTGGTTTTCAAATCATAAAAATATGAGCCATGACTCAAGACTTTTGCACAGTACTCTAGGTTAACACTGATTATTGACTCATCTCCATGAGTCAGTGGAAATATTCCCTGATGATCATCAGCATCTCGTGGTTTTTCTATGCGAATGTGGTTCAACCTGTTTGAAACAACAGTTTGGAAATAATGGCAGATTAATCATGATGTCATCTTTTTTTTTCTTTATTAGGGAACTAAATATCTGTGTCGAATCCTCGAACCCCTAAACGCTCCTGTTTTGGCAACACACAGAGAGCACTTAATGCATTAAACAGAAGTGCTGCGTAGATGTGTTGTTGGAGAGGGTCCGAGGTYGGGTAAAAGTGCTGATTGTTGGGTTGTTGTTGCGTTTGGGACAATAAATCAAAAGAGCTTCAATGCTTTTCAACAAAGTCTAAGGGCAACAGGAGTACACAATGAGATCAGTGTGCAAATGTGCGTTTGAGTCCAGCCTGCCATCTGCTCAGTATTACCTTACTGCAAAACCAAAGACACATCTAGCAGTAGTGAAACCCAACCACAGCCTCTGCAGGTGTGTCTGATTGTTTTTCACTGGGGASTGGGTGACATCTGGCTTTTTAAATGTCCTGTTTAAAATTAATATGGATAAGAATATAGGCAAGTTTGAACCTGACAGGTGGAGAAGTGCTGATGAGAATTTGATCCTATATTAAGGCTTTAGTGAGGGGTGGGGTCATATCCATGTTTTATTATGTTCAGGTGGACTTTACACACCTTGGCGGTTGTTTTTATTCTTTGACTTTTGGTTGTAAATTAGGAGACCCAGTGGAAGAAAAACCTGACCCTGTTTTCATATTCTCTTAGGATTTTTCTTACGATGACCCCAAGCTGGAATTCAATGTGGACGCTCCGAATGGCGTGGTCATGGAGGGCTATCTGTTCAAGAGAGCCAGCAACGCCTTCAAGACCTGGAACAGGTAAAAGAACCCAGTCGAGTCCCGTTTGAACAATAGAAATGTACGGAGGTTGTACTCTTACCAAACTGTGGAGGCTTTCTTGGATTCCAGATGCAAGTTGTTATCATTCAGATATTTTATCAGAGCAATTGGTTTTACTTCAACAGGATCAGCCTCATGAACAGATGTTTTTTTTTACCTTTTGGTTCTTGTAGGCGGTGGTTTTCCATCCAAAACAGCCAGCTGGTCTACCAAAAGAAACTTAAGGTAAAATATAATTTTGTACTTGCCCTATTTTTTTGATTACACAATTTTTCTTTACCTAGAAATCCACTGCTTGTTTTTTTTTTTTTCAAAGCAATGACTTAATCATTCTTAGCCACACACATTGGAAGAGAACTGYGCACTGACTTGTCTTTCCCTCTTAATTATGAGTAATATAACCTGCTTACATGATCAGTAATTAGTGCCTGTGTCTTTCTCTTCTGCCGCTGGCAGGACTCTTTGACAGTTGTGGTTGAGGATCTGAGGCTGTGCTCAGTCAAACCGTGTGAGGACAACGAGAGGAGGTTCTGCTTTGAGGTGGTGTCACCCACTAAGTGAGTCTGTTAGGATAGACATGTTTGTCCTGTCAGAGTGAAAGGATTCACTCTGAAAATGTCCTAATTTTAAATGTATAATATAATGGTTTGACAACATGGTATACCATAAAACCTGATTTTACCTGATGTCAAAGCCACTGTGGTTCTCTGTCATATCATTCCTGTGGGCTTTTCTCTAGTGTGTAGTGAAAGGTAGAGTTCCCCCTTTTCTTACATTTTACTCAGCAAATAAAATGATTTCCCCTAATATAAAGTCTGATGTTTGGAAATAGCTTTAAATTATTAGCTGAAACACTGATGGATATGACTTTGCTATCAGAGATGTGCCAACTTTCTCTCAACTATGTTTTGAAACAAATCTTTTGCAGCACRCTACAAGTGTTAGCATCTATCACTTTAATAAACAGGCTGCTGGTGTAAATGCACACTACTGTGTTAAAAACAACTACTGATGACGTTTGTGCTAATAGATGACATCTAGGTTGACTAATATAACCTCTTTGTTCCAAGTAATCAGACAAAACTGCTACTAGTTGGCAAAGAGTGTTACTAGTAAGAGTGTTTGCTCAGTAGTGTAGCTGCAAACTGGAGGATAACGTTGATTTTAAATTTAAACTCTATACTGGTGATTAAATTAGGATTTCAATCTTGATCTTCAAAATATCAGTAAACAGCAGATTTAAAATTGGCATCGTGAGTACTTGTAATGTGCAAATTTCGCCACTGTGGAATCAATAAAGTCTTATCTTATCTTATCTTATCTTATCTTATCTTATCTTAAAGTATTTGACTCTAACTGTAAACAAATTA